TGTGTGACATGTATGGAGAAGATGTATTGACAAAACGATAGTACCAAAACTGGTTTACAAAATTTCGTTCTGGCAATTTCAATATTGAAGATGCACCACATTCTGGATGGCCAGTTGAAGCCAATGAAAACAAAATAAAGGTATTGATTGAAGCAAACTGCTGAATAACAACACATAAAATCACTGAGATTAAATTTGTCAAATTTAACTGTTTATGATTACTTGAAACAAATTGGTTTTGTTTCAAAGCTTGATATATGGGTTCTACATGTTCTTAATGAGAGATGCTCTCTTTGGTGGGATTTTAAGGAAATTTTTTTTTTGGAGCTTTTACCAGACAATTTAACAATAGATTCAAAATTGTACTGCCATCCAGTAAACAAATTGAGTAATATCATCAAACAGAAAAGGCAGCCAGAATTGATCAACAAAACAGGTGTAGTGTTTTACCACGATAATGTCAAATTTCACACAAGTTTGGTAACTCGTCAGAAACTGTTATAACTTAGATGGGAGGTGCTATCACACCAACCATATTGGCCAGATTGAGCACACTCAGATTATTACTTGTTCCGGTCTATACAATTTTTTTTAACTGTAAGACATTTACTTGAAATGACAATGTCAAAAATCACTTGGATCAATTTTTTGTAAGCAATGATCAAAACTTTTATGAATGTGAAATCATGCTATTACCAGAAATGACGACAACATTATTTGACTAAAATGGTCAATATATAATTCAATAAAATATTTATTTATTATAAAAATATTGTTTTTTTCCCATGGAAAAAAAACAAAATTACTTTCCGAACAACCCAATATTTTAGAAACTTTCTGCAAAGTATATGTCAATGTGGGCCATACACTGCTTTGGGTTATCTGAATGAAATTATGTTTTTATTCCCTCCAGTTCAGCAACACAAGCATTTAAACGAATTATACAAATGTATGTATGTATCTATATCTGATGCTGTTTTATATATTTAAATAATATAGATAGAACCAAACCTGATTACAAGTTAATAATTATTAAAATATTAACTAAAATGTTTGATCAAAACTGAAGATATGACCATTCATGAACTTCAATTTCATATTATAAAATTTTATAATATTGATTTTAGATTTAGATTTGATATGCTTCTTATGTTCCTCTGTGTTTCACTTTATACATATTGTCACATCACTGCAATATGACTGATTAGTTGATTTGTGCAACTGATCAACCACATGAGACAATGAGGCACACCAGAATTATATGACACAGCTTTGTTTAAATCCATTACAAATGGCATAATCCATAATGGAACCTAACGAATGAAAGAGAAATAAAAAATAATCTCCTTCCCTAAACTAGCCATAAAATTATTGAATCCGTATCCCTCAAAGTGATAAGATGGTATATTATTATATAATCGTAAAATTTATAAGATATCAGCACAAAACCTTTCTCACTAATTTCTAGCCTTATTAACAGGAGTACAAACGTTTTCGGCCTTCTTAATAGGCCTTCCTCGGGTATTAAGAGGGCCGAAAACGTTTGTACTCCTGTTAATAAGGCTAGAAATTAGTGAGAAAGGTTTTGTGCTGATAATCTTAGAAATACTTCTAGCTACATATGCATAGTATTATAAGATATTTTTCTGGAGATACGTTTTTAGTGATTAGCAGTAATTAATTAAATTAAAGTCAAGTATTGTATATAATTCAATATTTCAATAATTAAAGAGAAATTAAAGAATATAAAAACTTTTTAAAGAGAAATTTAATAGATAACACGTTGCTTTGTTTGCAAATATTGAATTATAGTAATTATAAATTACAAATAAATTATATTAATTATTTACAAATAAAGCAATGTGTTATTTATTATGAAAATGAAATAAATCAAATCTTTTTGAATGATTTCATTTACTTCATAAAGTTGTGCCAGCCTTTTTGGAAGAATTTTTATTGATAAAATTTAAAAAATTCATAAATCTAAAATCAGATTTCTTTAATGCTGTGTAAAATATCTTGGAGTGGAAGCCTAAACAACAAAATTCTATGTGAAATGGCTTCTGCAGTAGTAATATTTTCTTAATATAAAATAATAGAAATGCGCAATTATTTATTGTGACATTGTCCTAATGCCAGGTTGCAATTTTTAATCATATTTTAAATTTATTTAATTTAAAATATATGCTCTCTACCTCAAATTAGTACTGTATTGTCTTGCCCCTGTACAGTACAATACATCATACTTTTCTGTTAGCAAGAGCATTGTGCCAGTCATCTATCTAACTCTTTTCAGGGGAAAATTTTTGAATTAAAATAACGTGACTTCTGATTTGCATAGGAAGTTCATATATAGTTATTTGGAGCCTCTTGCACTAAGCTTTCCAAATCTGGTCCTGAATTTCATTTATCTAACAATGTTCTCAAGATTAAGGAAAGGCAGACAGGCAGACACATGACAGTGGAAATATATGTCTACAATTTTTCAAATTGCAGCCCAATAATTTTTGTTAATTTATCTTAAAAAAAAAACAAATAAATATAAATATAGTGTGAACAACATACATAGAACCAATAACAAGTGTGAAATAATAAAAACAAAAACAAAAACTATCACAAATATTTTCAAACTTTTGAGTTCTTCAGGCACTATAACACACTGGTTATTGGTTCTGTGTAAGTTGTTAACTATTTCCTAGTGTGGTGCATTGTAATTTAAATATATTGTGAATTAGTACAAATATAACTAGTCATCACAAGTATGTTACTGTAAAGAAAGAAGAAGGAAAAAAAAAAGTAAATGGAACAACAAAAGGCAAATATTTGGCTGGACAGATTGTTATATTTAAATAATAAAATTAATTATTGATACAATTATGTATTTAAGAAATTTACCTCAAAATACCATATCAAAAATTCATTAACTAAAAATAAAGAAATAGACATACTATTAAATGAATTATAAAATTACACTATTATTAGACTATAGTTTTTAGTCTTTTAAAGTTAAAATTGTTTTGCTTGTAATAAATAAACTGTAGCATATCCTGCAGAACATACACCCTGTTAATGTTTTACTGGTAGAATATCTCTTGGTTTTTAATACCCAAACTCCTTCGAAAATACTTATCATTCAATACAATGTTTTTGATCAATGTTTATACAGAAAAAATTAATATTTATGTTCCAAAAACTCAATAAATAAAAAAACAACTTGCAGGAAACATTTCAAAAAACAATTGGTAAAATTTCAGACTTGTGGACAAACCATATTAACATGAGTAATCTGATGATAACCAAAAACTTTGCCTTTTTAGGGCCTCATCTCACTGCTCATATCTAATATTTTTGCTCTGTATCTGTGTCTCAAAAATGCTTAAAATGATCCTATAGATTGAAAATTACACTGCCTCAACCTTCTTTCAGCTTCAAGTGTGCAACTCACTCAGTACACAGTATGTTATATGTTGCATTTAACATAAAGTAATATTTATAGTATATGATACATTGACTTTACATGCCATACATACAAAGAAATTGGTTGTTAACTTAATAACTGGGTTAATTGTTTAATTACAAGCATTTTACATCTTAATACAACAGTTTGTTACCTATTTATAGGTATTTTACTGTGTTTTCATTGTTTTAGGATAATGGTTTGAAATTTTAAGTTGATGTTGTAAGGTATTAAATTTTTTCCAAGACTGGACAGAAAATTAAGACCAAAGAAAAGCTAAAATATAAGGCCATAGCCATTAAAAACACATTATACGGGTATACCTTGCCTTACATTTGGTTCCAGGAGAAGCGACTTAAGTCGTAAAACGACATAAGTCGAATTTACTTTTCTCCAAATTTACTTGTCACTAGGCTAAACCACAAATAACCATTCCCAGTTCTGTATTTTATTTATAAATGCATTTTTAATAATATGTTGTTAATAAGAATCTATTTTAAGCTTACAAACAAATAAATTTTAGTGTTTAATATAGCACAGAAAAAAGTAATCTAAATTTACGAATTCATGTACGTACAGTACATACTTGTAAATGTACATGTTTACAATTTTGCAATGTTTACAGTACATTGCTGACTCTTTATTTGTGAATGTGGTTTGCTCTAAGATATTATAAAATAAGATGATTTTGTAAGGTTAAATAACAAATACAGTTATTACAATTATCTTGTGACAGTAGAAAATAAACTAATTTATATTAAATTTACCAATATTGAGTGGGACTGACAATGATGCCAAACTGTAGATATTGGAGCTACCGTGGAAAACACCAATATTGAGCACTTAAAGACCGCTAAATAAGACAACAACACAGAAACACAGATGTTTTCATGTTTCATTCTCTAGGATTTATGATGATTATACTAACATTTACTGTAAATGTACATATTTTAATATGATTTTATGTGCTTTAACACTTTTCTAGTGATATTACGATTTCAATATTTGTGGCAGATGGACATAAAGTCGAATAAAATGACATGATTTTTATTTTTCCATATATTGAATATTTTTTGACAAATGACATATAATTGAGAACAACATAACCTGAGGTATACCTGTAATTTTAAACTTTTATAGTTATTGCATTACACATACAAGATATGAAATTAATACTTGAATTAAAACATATTACATTAACACTTCTTAATAAATTAATATTTGTTCATTTCAACAGCATTTTTGATTACTGATTGACTGTTTTTACACTCTAAAAACTACAGAAAATCTGTGTATCTGGTTTTTTCCAAGTTAATTTAATCAGAAACAGGCTCCAGTTAGCATTTTCATACAGAATATCAAATTTTCATGAAGAAATTATTGATATTAAATAAGGATGTTTGTTAAATAAAATGGTTAAATAATGGTTAACACTATTTAACCATTTCATATATAGAAAAGTATTTCATGATCACTCTAATATATATATATACACTCATATCTATAAAAAATGTATTTAAAAATTATAAAATTAAAATTTTACCTGTAAGTAACTCCAGCCATATCAAAAAGTTTGCGAGCTGCAACTGCACTTGGTTCCTTGTGATATTTATCTGACAGATAAACAACTTCTTTAATTCCAGACTGAATAATTAATTTTGCACACTCATTACATGGAAACAAAGCAACATAAATGGTACAATTTTTGACATCAGCAGTGTTCTTATTCATAATAGCATTCATCTCTGCATGGCAAACTAAAATATAAATTAACAATCTAATAAAACATAAATATATTAACTATTAAGCAAATAAAATTAATAATGCAATTTATCGTAGGAAAGTGTTTGGATTAACAGAAAATTCAGATTAGCAAGGTTATATAATGAAAATAAGAAAGAACTACTGACAGATATGTAACTTTAAACAAATTTTTCACTGTTTAGTTCATGTATTTTTTTTTTTTTTTTTTTTTTTTTATAACACTTTCTGCTCTGTGGGCACTAAGAGGGCCTCATTTAGCAAGCCCATTATGGGTTTGTCCAGGCTCACAATAGGGTGGTGAGGAATGAGGGCTGACATATCTGGTCGGACCAACTCCCCGAAAATTCCTGGGGATTTTTTGACCCGTCCAGATTTAATCCTGGGTTCCCCAGAATGGCAGAGTGGTAGGCTGCCACCTTGACCACGTGCCCATCCAGCCACATACTTATGTTAAAACATGTGGTAAATATTAATATTACAATTTCTTAATGTTTTTTAAAAAAAATTATCTATGAAGCCTATTTACTTTTGGCTGGAACATTTAATAACATAACAAATAAAATTAATTTGGATTAAGAAAGTTTATATTAGCAAGATACTACATACTATAGTATACAAGTATACTATATAACTGATAAAAATTATTACTAAAAATGTTTAAACATCAAAGAATTAATTTTATTAATTAATTAAAAATAATTAATTTTTTAAATAGTTTTGGTAATAATAATGATATAAAATAATAAATAGATTTGTAATATCTAATTATAGAAATACTCCAATATAGTATATAATATTCGTGCATTTAAAAAAAATGTAGTTTCTAATTTAAAATGATAAAGTTACCAGTTACATAATAACATTTTTATACATTAAATATTTTAATATCTAAAATTTATTCAATATTTATCACAAAAGGAAAAGAATGAACAATAAAAAATTAAGAATTGTAAAATTCTGTTTATATGAACTGATTAACATTTTACTAATATTGAACTTTATTTGATATAAAAGGTTTGAGTCAGTCTATATATTTATTCATTATAACTAGATTAACAAATAAATATGATTCTGAAATAAGAAAGTTTGTCTTATTCTTATGTCAATATTTACTACTCTTCTAAATAATTCATTAATAGAAATGCATATTAACTTTTCTGTCTTTTTGAAGCTAAATCCTGTCAAATTCTCTAAATTTAATTTATAAAACATTTTGTTACAACTTGTTAAATATGAACTTTTTGTAAATTTGTAAAAATATTTTTATTTTTAAAATAATTTAAACAATCTTAAGCTTTAGTGATGAAACATGTTAATATAAAAAAAAAAAATGTAGGAATAAAAATAACATAGAGAATGGTATACAGTAATACCCCGAACTTACGCGATAGGTGGGACCAAGCAATAACTGCGTAAGTCGAATTCGTGTAAGTCGGGGTATAATTTTGCAATTTGTGTAAAATCCAAATTGGATGTATGTAAGCTAATAAATGTTCTCGTTAATCTTATCTCATCTTTTGATTCGTTCACGGTTACAAGAAATCACCACACACAGTCTCTCAAGTCTCTGTAGATATAACAAACACAGAAATAAATAACACAAAATAAATTGTAACTTTGCGTCGATTCCGCGCGACACGTCTGAACATGTAAGCCGAACAATAGTGTGGGGGGAGTGAGTAATAAAGAGATGTGTGGCGCTCAAACAAAAGACGAATTGACGAGATTTGAAAATCGCTTAACTCTGGGTTTGCATAAGTCGAGGTATTACTGTATATAATTTATATCTTTAGATATTATTTTAAAAAATGGCATTGAAAGATGATAATTAAATGAAAGTTTAGAATTTGTGATTAAATTAGAAGTACAATTATAAATAATAATATAACAAAATATTAAGAGCAAATTTATTCAAAATGCTAGCAGAAAACAGGAGATAAACAAGTTGAAAAGTACATTAAAACTGAATATGAAAAGTTATAACTATAAGACCAAAAATAATAATAATGATATCAGCTTTTGATAAAATTTGTCCTAAATAGAAAACTTCATGATACATTTTGGCCTAAATAATACAATCAATCCAAAATTGTCATGGCAAGGAATAATGACAAGAGATAAACATTTATTTTTTACTAAAATAACAGTTGTGTTTGAAATGAGAGAAGGATAACAATTGTAACCGTCTTTAAAATGGTAGTTAATTATAATCATATAAATTTACTAAAATAAGTAATGTGTCTATCAACGCTGGAACTTATCAATAATTAATTTCACACCTTTCTTACATATTCAAGCAATACTTCATTAAAAAGTTCTTAATACAATAAGGCAGGAAGATGTAAACTAGGCTGTAATGAGCTGGCCTCAGGCTACAGTTTATGGGCCTGAAGCAGGCCCATAAACTAGGCCAAAAACATTTGTTTTTAATAAAGTATTGATGGAAGACATAAGGAATGTGTGAAATTAATTAAAATAAGTTGTTATTCAAAACAAGTAATAATAGATACGTGCATAGAAACAATATTCACAATTCAATATTTGTTGGGATAAACATTGTTCTCATCAAGAGATAAAGCAATATGTAAATAAATGGTTCAAAATACTTGTAATTTCTCTTTTCTATAGTAACAAGTAGTTTGATTTAAATCCTGTGTTTCTTTGATATGTCTACATCACATGTAATTTTATTATTTCACAGAATAAGTGTTCATTTGATTCAAAAAGCAAAACAAGGATTTTGAACCACCTATTTACATAGTGCTTTATCTCTTGACAAGAACAATATCTTCACCAACAAATTTTGAATTGTATGGGTTATTTCTACATATATACTATATATATTACTATTATTTTCACATTAAAACAGAGGAATTGATATGGATAATAATTACATATTCTTTTGTACAATTTATGATATAAATGTCTCATTTCAAACATATCAGTTATTTTAATAAAAAAATAAATTTTCTATCTCCTTGTCATCATCCTACACATTGTTAAAGTATTTGAACTGATATGAATGCCTTTTGTGTTTTGATTATTAATTAAAAAGATTACTTGAAGGATCTAAAGAATAGTGTCACTTTGTTATGAACTTATCAAACAGTAGATGTTGGAGATGACAGGAATAAACAAAACAAAAATATTACCGTGGCCCACAGTAATGTTTTTTGCAGCCCGCATTGCAAAAAATATGAATAAATATATCAATTTTCCTGCTTAAGGAAGTATGCAACAAAAATTCAAACGTTATTTTCTACAACTTATGTATATGAATAGTTTTTCCACAATGAATTTAGTAAAAATTAAAACAAGAAACCAGCTAACAGACACATCAAAACTAATTTAAAACTAGCAGTGATTAATATTTAACCAAATATTTCCAATATATTATGTTTACATTAGTTCCAGAAGCTAAATTAAGTATACCTATGCTATATATGAATAAATAATTGTGATTTACTGACATTTTCCCCTCTTTTCTCTTGTATGTGGTCTGCGTCAGTGTAAAAATTTTGAATGCAGCCATTACATAGATAAAGGTTGCTCATCCCTGCTTTAGATCCTTCAATTGATATTAAAACGGAACAAGAAGCTTGAATAACAAAAAAAAAAAAATAAGATTACTGTTGTTATCTTTCTACCTTCAGGACTTTTACATTGTATAAATAGTATTTCTAACACATTCTCAAACAAGAATGTTAATGTGCATCAGAATAATATTCAAATGCAGACTGAAGATTGAAAACATTAATAATACATTATAAAAATAAAAATAAACTGTTAATTTTTAATTAAAACAATAATAAGTTACCAATAATCTTCAAAAACACAAAAGAACTCAAAACAGTATGAATATTGAGGCACCACTGGTGACAAACATGCAAAACTAACATGAATGACTGGAAATATTATATTGAACTTGTAATGAATAAAAATTATTTAAAATTATTTTACTAGTTTGAAAGCTTGGATTTGGGCAAAAATCTGACACTACTACAATTCATCAATGCCTCTAAAATCTAAATAGTTTATGGATTTTAATAGACTCTAAAGAAGATAAAGAATTTCATACAGTTTTTCTAATTGTTTTGTTACTATTTTCTGATTAGTTTGATTATTTCTCTGACTTTTTCTAATTTTTTATGTAAAGATTTTGTGAATAAAAATTTTATATTATTATTTGATAGTTTTTAAAGAATTTTAATTAAAGAAACATTAATCTAAAATTAATATGACCAAATATGCATTATATACAGATAAACTAAATAAACTTAAAAGTTATAAAACATCTTGTATTAACTTATATTTAAATTTCTTTTTTTTTAATTCTGAATAAAAACGGTTACAAAATTCTAAATTGTTAAATTTTGAAGATAACAAATCTATAAAATTCATGTATGATAACATATATATTTATTCATCATTAATATTTTAGGAAAGTGATAACATTCTTATAAGTTTAATGACTAACACTATGGGTGCGTTTACTTCTGAGTTAGCAGTGCTAATTCTGATAACCGGATGTGACGTCATTAGCACGTGTATTCGTGCTTGCTTGTCCAATTCGAAAGTGAACACATACGCTAACAAGAAATATGGCGGTTTCCAGCCATATTTCTTGTTAGCGTATGTGTTCACTTTCGAATTGGACAAGCAAGCACGAATACACGTGCTAATGACGTCACATCCGGTTATCAGAATTAGCACTGCTAACTCAGAAGTAAACGCACCCTAAGATAACTTTAAATATCTCATTCTTAAAATATCTGATAAAATATTTAATCATTAATTCATCTATAACTTTTTAAATATAAATTGATAAATACGTTTACATTGCTATTGAAAAATTTAAATTTTAAGCAAAAAATTGTTCATTAAATTGTCAAAAGTTTTTTCATATAAAATTAAGTTATGATATATAATTTATACATAATTACATGATTACGTACAATATACATGATTAAATATCCTGTCATTCTGTCATTAAAGCCTAATTAATTTATAATTAATTAATCTTTAATGACAATATTTAGAGTTTATATTCATTAATAACATTATCTTCTGTTATTTTCATAGAGAAAACTTTTGACAAACTTATAACTTGTCACAACATTTATATATTTTGTTTTGTTTATTAAACTTCTGAAACCTTTAAATGGAAAAAGTGGCATTTTTTTATTCTGTATATCTCTAATTCATTACAGAAATTAAAACTGTTTTACAATTATCATCATTTAAAATATTTATATTATCAGAATATTTCTTTCTTATCATTTGGTAATTGTAAATACACTAGACTCTTGTTAAATCAGCCATTCCTTGGCCAGAGGAGTGCCAGATTAGTAAGAGGCTGAATTACTAAGAGTGTAGAGGCCTGAAGGCAATGAATGACATGACCTGTGACCTTTTGGTACTGATTCTTTTTGAAGGCAGATAGGCAAATATTAATAATACAATGTACTGACACACAACACTGTACACAGAAATAAAATCTAAGTAAACAGGAAAACAGGATGTTTAACATGATTAACATTTACATGTAAATGGAACTATACAGTCAATCAGACTTGGGTTATGCCAGATAATTGAGATACCAAATTATTACTATTAAACTTGTTCAACAATTAAAGGTGTTTCATTAAACTTTCTTAATGCAAATGAAAAATTACACTTATGATGATTTTAAAGATCAGATTTCAGCATTAATATTTCTAACAGCTTGTTAAGTTAAAATCAAGATGGAAAATTACAATGAATTTGATGTAGATCTATTGTATATCAAGTATGCCTTAAAAATATAAAACCATTAAAAAATTCATTCAGACAAAATAATATTGAACCTTTGGATGATATTTATTTCACTATTCTTTTAGTAACACATATATTTGTATTAAAATCAAGTGAACTTTTTCTGAAGTTTACTTTAAAAAACCAAAAAAGAAAATCTATGTTTGTTTCAAATTGTTTTCAACAATATTTAATTGCTGGAATTTCTTGTCAGGTTGAAATAAAATTTTCTCTCATTCCTCCAATACAAAAATCTGCATATTAATGAATTGCATTTAAAAATTTTTATAAATTGTTTTGATAAAATAGCTAAATAGAAACTTTATTATTAATTTATAAACATATTTTTTGTTCTTTCTCTTTTTTTTACAGATATATTTAAATGTATTACAGTAGACCCTCTATAACATGGGTACATATAAGACAGATTTGTATAACACAGAAAAATGAGTCACTTAAATACATGAGCCAATCACAGCCTGGCACATGTGCAGTTTATGGGGTAAGGCTGTTTGAAAGGTTTTCTTCCATAAAATTAATCAATTCTAGACTAATTTGACTTGAATATTTCCAAAACATGTATAATTTTTTGGGAATAATCCATATAAACTATGCTATAAACAAAAAATTGTAGGAATACTTATCGAGTGCGCACCGTTCGAAGACACCATTGCATAAGCTTGTTTTTGTCGTGGAGCGGCTCATCAGATGGCAGTCACACGTTTCCTGATAAGTTATTCTTTCTGTGAAAAATTCGCTGAACTTTGATGACATCATTAATAGAAATATCATTTTTATGGCCGTTGAATAATAAATGTTTTTTAGTAGGTCCGCTGCTTGTTTAAACTCAACGGTTTGTGCAATGTCCACTATTAGTCCAGATTCGACCAATCCTGTCGCGACACAAGTTGGCGATGACAATCTGTCTCATTCTTTTACCATGTTATACGAGCCTCTTTTATCATGTTATAGGAACACGATCACAATTTTTTCGCTGTGTTATACAAATCCGTATTATATGAACCTGTGTTATAGGGGGGTCTACTGTATAATAAATAAATCTTTAGATTCCCAAGATGTTTATTGAATACATATTTGATTTGTTAATTTCAAAATTGGTCAATCACTATTAACAATTGTATTTTTATATTTCTGAATTAAAACATGAGAAAACACTCTTCTCTAAAAGTTATATAATCTGAAGAAGTTACTAATCTGAAGGTTCAGCTATATTGTACACATTAAAATAGTTCAGTTCAGATTTTGAACAAAATTTAGTACAAAACCTGAAGATTGTCTAAGGTAATAGGCTTAAATGTTTGTTAAATAAAGAATTTTATCTCAGAGAACCTCAGATGATGTAATAAGATTGTTTACTTATTTTTTTCAAATTTTTTAATTAAGCATTTTTATTTTTTTAGGCTGCAATTTGAAAAATTTTAGACCTATAAAATCCCACTGCCATACATCTGTCTTTCCTTAATCTCCAAAACAGAATTAGATAAATGAAAGATGAGACCAGATATGGAAACCATAGGGGCATGAGGCCCTGATTAACTATATACAAACTTCCGATGCCAACTGGAAGTCATGTTATTTCAATTCAAAAACTTTCCCCTGTAAGGTGTTAGATAGATGACTGGCCAACTATACTGTTAAAGGAAAAGTATGATGTACAGAGGCAAGCCACAACTAATTTGAGGTGAAGAGCACATGTTTTAAACTAAATACATTAAAAATTGCAGCCTGGCATTATGACAATGTCACAATAAATAATTGCTTGTTACATTTTGTATTTTTGTCTGTGAATTCTATAAATGAATAAATTATATTATATTTTATACACATAATGATTTACAGTTGCATATATAATAATAGTTAAAATACAGATGTCTGTGAAACATTTTAAAAATTTATTTTTTATAAACTATACAACAGATATAATTTTTAACACTGAAATAAAGGTAAATGCTTCAAGTTTTTTTACATGAGTTACAAATGTTCAATGTGCACATCTTTTCTGATGTGGCAGATATCTAGCCAATAATCCATTTTCTCTCATATGAATGTTAGTTCAATCTCTTGCAGAGAATTCACCAGAATTTTGGTTGCAAGACACTAACTTCTAAACTTGAATCTGTAGTGGACTTGCAAGGGCTACACTCATAGGCTTGTTGAATATGATCCATGCTTTGTTCACTTGGCTCTGGATGTCCAGGACAAAGATTGGTGCACAGACAGCCTTCACCCCTGGAATTTTGCATACCATTTCAGGATAGTATTGTACACAGTGTACACAGTACACAGGGTAGTGTCATTATGGAATTCTGCTCAAAACTGTCACTGTAAAGTCACAACAGACAAAGTTCTTGCATATTCCAACACACAAAATGACTTTTTACATTTGCTACTATCACCTTCTAGCAACAAATGACAGCAAGTATGCATGCATACTATTACTGAAAAAAACTTGGAGAGTTTATTCTTATTTCAATGACAAAAATCTGTAGTGTAGTGTATTTCAATGACAAAGTATCTGTTGTGTTGTTTATAAATATTAAATTTTAGAATGTTTCATGACTTATGAATACTATGTATGCTAAAATATGCCAATAATCATAATCAAAGTTTATTTTAATTAAAAATCATAAAAACTGTTTATTTTATATTTACCGTAAGCATATTTAGTTTCAAGGAAAGGTCCTTCTCTTCCCCAAGGTAGCTCATCATCATTGCATCTATTTGGCATTCCATTGTAACCAATACCAACAATTTTCTTTTCTGGATTAACTATACATGCACCCACCTAAAGAGAATTTGATGTAAAATAATTTAAGTAACTTAATAAAGTAGAATAATTTTAAATTACATATAATACATAAAATAAAGTATAATTTCAATAAAAAGTTATCTTTACAGTCAATATTTATTAATAACAAAAAGATATTAACATACAAATAAAATTTTTCATTGTAGTTGCTAAAATTATTACAATTATTCAAGAAACTATTCAAATAAGGACAGCCAAATCTATCAATTTACCTTTGGTAAAAATCTCTGATAAATAAATAAATAATTATTCATTTATTTATTCAAGTATCTTCTATTTTGGACTATTCAATTGATGAAGATCTATCAAATTAAGTTGAAAATGTTTTTGTTTCATTAAACATTTTGCTGAAGTTGATTTCTAAGGTACAAATTTATTTTTTGACATTCCCTCCAGTTTCTGTATTTTGTTATTTTAGATATTTGTGACAGATTAAATTGATGAGAACAAAGAATTAATAACAAGGTAAAAGGGTTCAAAAAGAATATTAAGGAATCAAACATTTGAAATTTATTCAAACATTAAACTTTGGAATAATTTTTAAAATATAGATTTATGTATATTTAACACAATTTAACATATATTACTTTTTATATAGAAACATTTTTATGACATATCAATTGTAACAAACATTAAACATTAAACTGCCCTAAACTTTGAACTACTCTTGGGGAAATTCATGAAATTCTTTATGAATTTTCTAAGCATGTTTTTTCCTAGTTATCAAATTTATGTCATATCCTCTATTGTTTTATGTGCCTTAATTAAGTCTATCAAAACTGTTTTCTTTTCTGAAAAATTTTTCACTAACTTTATTATACATAGATTTATATTTTCTGTCATTTTCTCCAATGTCCAATTGATTAAAAATTTTGAAGTAGCCAGAAAGATTAACTTTAAATATAACAGCATTTACTAAATTGTGGCTGTTACTTATTCGTGAAATTAAACAACAAGTTAAGCAGTATGTTAGTGAAATCATGATTAAGTCTTAGGTCTCACACTAGTCAGTCCTCATTTCTGTAATCAGACCTTAACCTGTAGTACCTCATTATTAACCTCACTTTTGGCATAGGCAAGACCTTATGGTGATATAATGGGTGTCATTTTTCACCTCCCAGTGTCACATTTTTTTCTCAGTATTTCTCATACATATAGAAAAAATGGTGTTAAATCTAATGGCATATTCACCTGTAGACCTTGTCATGTATTTCTCTTTGTAAAATACTGATCCTAACATATGCTGTTACCAAAGTTTTGAAAAGTGTCTCATATTTACCCACATTGACCCTAATTCTTTTATGAATGTTATTTCAAGACTATATATTAATCTTTTAATGTTTTTGTTTTTATAAACAAATAAATAAATTTTACTTATTATTATTTGTATTAAAGGAACTTATTTTAAAATTGCATAAAATAAAACTAAGACCATAGAACTTATGAATACCTAGTAATCTACAACAGATGAATTAGATAAAATAAAAATTTGATTCTTTTATTTGTACTTGATGTGAGATTTTGAATACTCCCCTTTAATTAATTAAAAGTTTAAACCAAATTAATAAATTTTAGAAGTAATATTTTATGATTTTGATGGAAAAAGTTTATTTTCAAAAACGAAGGAAACTGTAAAACACACTTCCTCTTCAATGGAAGTTGAACATCTTTTTTCTTTTTCCCTTATCTTCAAAATTTTGAGTCATACAACTACAAGTCAACCCCTCTGTAATTTCCCACTCATCCTGTTCACATGGGAAAATACAACGTTCCAATTAGAAGAAATCCTCGAAAAAGGGGATTCTTTTGTATTGTTTGAGGAATGTGCCAAAATCTCGCGAAGTAAGAGGACGTATTCCAGTTGTCTCTCCTATGGTCAATGTCCTTAGCCAGGAGTGCGCCTCAACTTCTAAAAGAAGAAGTACGTATTCCGTGCCGTCTCTCCATAGCCAACGCCCAAAGTCTAGTAAAGATCTTTCTACATGTTCCCAAATTAAGAAATTGTTTGATGAAGTGCCATTTCCGAAATTCCAAGAGAAAGAAGTAAAGGCTTGATAAGAACCTGAATTTTAATGAACCTTGTCCTCGACACGACTAAAGCAGGAAACCCAGGTAAAAAAAAACCTGTTGAGGTAGTATGGTTTAAAAGAATTGTAATCTCTTTATCCGCATGGTAGGAAACTTTAGCATAGTAATCTCCATTTTTATTTTTTTTTTGGTTTATTAAATACTCTTTGTTATATATATAAAAAAATGGCCTTATTACTGACTGAATCAAAAGATTCCCTCCTCTCAATTTTAACACAACCTCTTCGTAAAAATAATTGGAAGTAACTGCGTGATAGCCCGCGAAATTGACTATCTGGTGTCAGGAACCTGACAAGGAGACAAGATCCTGCAATCGTAAGTCTCTGCCTTCTTTTCCTCACTCCAACCATAAGTCCCTCTAACACTCACAGTAATAGCCATCTTTATAGACAACCGAGAACTGATCCAAAGATCAGTTGCTGAGTAAGTGGTATAGAATATCACTGTGATTCGATACCCCCAGCTAATCTCACAATGTAATTATTCAGAAATACTTTGAATTTGAAAATTTTCAAATTAAAATATGCATTATGCATTTATTGATCAAAACTGTAAAAAATTTACTGATTAATTATTGTATATGTTTGTATTCAAGTATTCAAGAGAAAGTACAATTATTATTAAACAATATATAGTACATTATTTTAATTTATAAATTTTAATATAATATAAAATAAATATAAATATTTATATTATATTCATAAAAAACAAACAATAAAATTTACAAAATTGACTGCTAATTTTAGAAATAAAGACACAAATGCAATGAGTAATATTTTTCTATAGTTATAAGTATGTTTTTTTTCCCGTATACGAAACTTTCAGTTGACTTTTTATAAAAAATTTTTTCAAACAACATACATAAATTTTTACTGTAAATATCATTACCATTATCTTACTTATGTTAATTATAAAACAAAAACCAACATTTAAAATTTTTATTTATCTGAATAAATAAACCAAAAAATTGTTATGTTAATGATATGTTATAAAGTGTTCATAAAATGTATCCTTTGCATTTTAAAATATTTCTACAGAATAATTTGTCTTAATTTCTGCAAACCTTTGAGTGAGACATTTAGTAGACATGCATTTTGGAATACATTCAATATATAAATTATGCATTGCATTAACTTATCTCTTATTTGAATATTTGATTATTACAATTATTCAAGAAACTATTCCAATTCTTTTTTTTATTTCTTATTTGAATAACAAGCAATAATGGAAATTCATTTAGAAAAGTAATGCAATTTTTATCTTATTCTATATATAAAAATAGTCCTCTTTAATGTTATATTATGAATAATGAACAATCTTTTATAATGTAAGATCTAAGACTTTTGATTTTAATTTTTGTCAAAATCAAACTTAATTCTAAAATCATTCACAAGATCTCATTATTTTTAGTTTTCCAGACTTATGACTTTAGTTTGATAAAGGATTTATTCTATTTCTATATCTTTCTGTATTCCTGCTTGCACAGCTATTATTAAGTTATATAAAAAATTTTTTGCAAATCTTCAAATTAAAGAAACATTGAAACATGATATTTCAACATTTAATTACTAATATTTATGATACATAAAGTATTTAAAATTTCAATATTTTTTTCAGTGAAGCAATTGAGTTAATAATATCTATTCTTTAAGTATACAAGTCCAAAGACTATCAGTTACTCTCTCAGTAATAAAGTGTTCATAAAATCCTAAAATAAAACAACACCCTAATAATTTTATGAAATGACTATTTTAAATAGAAATATTTCTGATACCCTAAATACATTTATGCCAACAATTGATGTTATTTATATAATAACAGTTAAGATGAGCAATGTCTTCAACTTCCATTGAGATGATTCAAGTTTAACTATCCTCAAACTCCATTACTGTAAAGGGATTCTAACAACACTGTGATGCTAAATCCATCATGTAGTGTCATATTTTTAATAAACGATTTTAAAATTTGAATACTATTTTTACATTGTTTTGTCATCATTTATTCATTTTATTCTCCATTGCAATAAATTAAATTTTTCTTTACCTTCATTGAAAAATAATATGCATAACAGTGTTTATTTGTCTTAAAACAAAATAAAAAAATTAATAATAATATGTACTATATTATGACTATCCCTATAGTTCCTAATTTAATAATTCCTTCTCAGAATGTGCCATTTTTAACTTCTGTTAGATTCCAGATGTTAGTTATTTTCTAGAATAACTTCTGATATTATAACCATAATTAACGACAATAACTGTTAAGGAGTTGTCAATTCTTAACTATTACTAAATTCTTATATCAATTTATGCAATATATTTTAAATATATTTCTGAAATTTATACAAAACCTGAGAATTTGGATCTTTACTTCTCATAGCAGAAAGAAAGGCAATTGACATAAAATAATCTGACCATTGAAGATAATCATCTCTTTTCTTCACTAACTTATTTTTCATATTTCTACAAAAACAAATAAATTTTGATTAGTATTTTGTTTAACAATTGCTGATTTAGTAAATACATAGCATAATATCACATAATAAACCAATCCTGAATTATGTATTAATAACAAAATGATAATGCCAGATAGATCAAGTCATAACTTGACTATTAACTATACAGATATTAAGTAAGAGTAAGAGTTTCCATCTTGACTTTAATAATTAGAATTTAATTAATTAATTTAATTAAGTCATTGTTTTTGAAAGTAATTTACAACAATAATTTTCAGTGGTGAATGTGTGGTATGGGTCAATGATCAGCTGCTTGGCTCATTTATTATTAAAGGCTGTATTTTATTCCATTTTTGAGGTCCATGTTATTGGTCAATTTGATTTTTATTAATTTTATCATTATATTAAAAGTCAATTTACTGGTGCAGTTTACAATTTTTATGAGAAATTGATGCCTTTGTTGAAAGCTGTGCTGATAGTAATACAATACTACTGTTTTCAACATAGTGGTGCTCATCTCACTTTTCTTGTGCAGTGGTAGATCATTTAAATCAGGGATGTCAAAGATACAGCCCATGGGCCATGACTAATTCTCAAGGCAATTAGTTGCGGTCCCCAACATTAATTCAATAATGCTATTTGTTTATTTTTTATTATGTTGATACTAAAGAAAGTGTGATATTTTGTATTTAAACAAATAATACTTAATAAACAAAATTGTTGAACTCAATTATTATTATTTTCATTTATTTATTTATTCATATTACTTAGAGATATTAATTTTATTTGATTTATTTTTGTGTTTAATTTCTTGTTTACATTATGTTTTCTCTATTTTATCTTTTGATCTTCAAAGTCCGTCTAAACAAGATTATTTATTTTTGCTGGAAAAGTACAAATGTTGTTTTTTTATTTTGTTGTCAAATCTTGGGTTATTAAAAACGAATTTTTTGATTTGGATACTTTTGGACTACTTTTTAGAAAATTTTTGTCCACAAAAGCTAAAATCATCTGGCAACATTGTTCAGTATTTAAGACACTTCTGTAATTAGAGACTTTGTTGCATTTTCTTATTGGTGAGCGAGTTCAGTCAAATAAACTGCAATGATAAAAAATTTTCAATAAATAATGTCAGTAAAAAGAAAAGTTGATAGTGAGTGCCGATTTTTCCAGCCAAAGTGGGAAATTTGGTATTTTTTTTATTGAATGGAATGGTAAACCACTTTGTTTGATTTGCAATAAGATTATTGCCGTTTGTAAAGAATTTAATGTGAAAAGACACTATAAAATGAATCATAAAGACAAGTTTGAGTTATTTACCAATGAAATTAGGCAAGAAAAACTGGCATCTTTGAAAACTAAACTTATGGGGCAGCAATCATTTTTTAAAAAATCAAAAATTGACAGTGAGAATGCATTGAAAGCTAGTTATTCAATCACATTAAAGATTGCAAAAAATCCAAAAGCTTTTAGTGATGGCGAATTTTTAAAAGAATGTATGCTAGATGTGGCTGACATTTCATTCCCATTGCAGAAACAAGTCATTCAAGAAATACCCCTGACTAGAAATACAATTACTTCCAGAGTAAATGAATTGGCAGAAAATTTGGACTTTCAACTTAAACATAAAATTAAAGAATTTATCTGGTATTCCTTAGCAGCCGATGAAAGTACAGATAACAGAGATACATCGCAGCTTGCTGTATTTATTCGTGGAATTAATGAAGATTTTAACATCATAGAAGAGTTGCTGCAGTGCATACCATTGAAGAGTACTACTACAGCTCAAGATATTTACTCAACAATTGAGCAATTAATACCAAATTATGACTTGGATTGGAGTAAATTCTGCAGTATTACTACAGATGGGTCACCATCCATGGTCAGTAAAAATGCTGGTGTTGTTACAAAAATACAAAACAAAATTTTAAATGAAATTAAACATGAATGACCCAAATTCATTGGAATTTACTGTATTGTACATCAAGAAGTCTTGTCCTCTAAAGTGCTGAAAATGGATTATGTAATGAATCCCATAATTAAAATAGTTAATTTTATTAAAAGTAGAGGACTAAATCACCGCAAAGTCACACAATTTTTAAACGATCTTGATGAAAAATGTTCAGATATTCCCTACTTTGCAGAGGTATGGTGGCTTAGTTGTGGATCAATGCTTAAACGATTTTTTGAATTGTGTAAACATATTGTTATGTTTATGGCTCAAAAAGGCAAACCAATGGAACACAGTGATGAATGTTGGCTTGACTTTGTGATCTTAATAGATATGACAGAACACTTGAATAATTTGAACGTTAAACTTCAAGGAAAAAATGTAATTGTTACATAACTGTACTCAAGTGTTCAAGCTTTCAAAATAAAATTAAAATTGTGGGAATCGCAGCTGCAAGAACAAAAACTTGACCAATTCCCTAGCATTTGTGAAATTGGCATGTACAATGCAGATAAATTAGCAGATTTTTCTTACCATTTGCTTGATCTTATTGCTGAATTTGATAGTCGTTTTGCAGATTTTCGCAAGCTCAATACCTACGACTTTCCTCTTTTTAATGATCTGTTTGTGTTCGATGTTGGTAAAGCACAGACTTACTTGCAAATGGAACTAATAGATTTGCAGTGTGATAGTGCTTTAAAAAGCAAGTTCAATGAAGTTGACATTTTGGCATTTTATACAAAGTACTTCAAAAATCAAAATAGCTATCCCAACTTAAGGAACCATGCCGCCCACATTTTATGCATGTTTGGAAGTTCATATGTGTGTGAACAGTTGTTTTCAACAATGAAGATTAATAAATCTAAATACCGTTCAAGACTTACAGATGAACATCTTCAGTCCATTTTGAAAATCAATACATCATCGTTGACACCAAACATCAAGGAGATAATGAAGTAGAAGAAGTCAAGTTTCTGGATCCTCAAAATAATATTTTGGTTTAATATGTCTCTATTTAAAAAAATTACAATTTTTTTTCTTTAATAAAATCATTCTTTATATACTTCTTATTTATACTTAGTATTACATTTGCATTTTATTTTTAATCTGGCTCACTGTCATACTCGAGACAAAAAATTGGCACTTAAGGAGTTTGAGTTTGACACCCCTGATTTAAATGATATGTTCAATGGACAATGGCTTGGCCACGGTATCCCAAATGCCAATAAGAAATAGCTCCAATCAGTTGGTGGTTAAACTTAAATTAAGCTGATGTTCTTGGAAGCATTCCATTTTAAAATGTTAAAAACAGAAACTCTACATTCTAGACATGTACTGTACACCTGAGGCAGATCTTAGATGTGTTATATTTGTATTCCCAAACTGGCTATCCAGGTCTTTGCATTTGACATCATTAGCTTTTTGTATTTGGATGAAGACATGATTTATGAAAGAAAAGTGCAAGCACAAGAAAAATTGATTGCCTATATTCTGCATGTTGCTGAACTTCAGGATTTTGCAGGGATTGTTGAGAACAGTTTTGTGAGGATATAGACTTGGTCAAAATTCAAACTGGAATTTCCTTCACAAAAATTGGGAACCAGAAAAACAAACAAAAAATTAATAAAGTATTTCATGTAATGTTTGTCAATACACAACATGGAGACTGATATAAACAATGTAATTTCTAATATCAAGGGATCAGAATTTGGTATTGAAGTGAATGTCAGCATTGACTCTTCTTGTGACCCAAGCTGGTCTCAAATTATCCCCAGAAACAGATAAGAGACAAATTGGGAGCAAGTATGGAGATTTGAAACCAATCAGGATGTCTGATCGAGGGATCAACCCTTCAAGGACACAGGGCTTGCTTTCTATCAGTTCCTTCCCAATTGGTTCCTTTTGATCTGATCCCATCTGACCAGTGTTCCATCAAGTTCCATTGCTGTGTTACTTCTAAACTGTGTATCCTGATCCAACAGACTTCATTCAATTTATTAAATCTACACATTGAATTGTCACTGTATCATTCTATCCATTGTAGGCAACTTTCCCTTGAAATAGTAAACAATAAGGATATCTGACCTCCTCACTGATGAAAACAATTGCCTTTCTCTATCCTGTGGAACCTGAACTTTCTACCTCTTCTCAATGAATGTTCTCTGTGTGGACACCTCATTGATTGAATCAAGGACTTTTGTCAAACTTGGAAAAGAATCCAGAAGATTGTTGTAAGAGTCTTTCTCTCAATAAATAGTTTTTTGAATCATCTGAGCCTACCTTGGTATCAAAAAAAATACACCACATGCATGACCCATGTTATTGTGCCGTTCCAGTCTGCTGATACTCTTCCTCTAGCAGAGTTTTGCCATTTTGTGAACATTTTAATATAAGGCAAGTGACAAATTGCATGGCCTTCATAGGTAAGAAATACTACAAGTACTGTCAGGGTTGGGTGCTATTAATTATTCTCAATGTCCATTTAAACAATAAAGCATAGACAAAGAATGGCAGTGACTTCTTTCTTAGATGGTCAATAGTCATATAACAACTATAAATCATTTATATGTAAGAGTGAATTGGTCCATTGGTACCATTGACATCAAGACTACCCTATCCTACCCTCTAAACTTTGTTGGTCAAGACACCCAACTTCAAACAGGGAAATTGAAAGAAGGGAAGAGATGATAAAAAAAAAACTCTCTCAAGTGATTAGCCATATAACTTACTGTCCATGTACAATATTGTAAATAGTTTCCTGTAAATATTTGATATAAATAAATATATTTAAAAATATAGGCTCTTAATTCAGCTGATGGCATCTACTTTGCCAAGAGTCAGAGGTAAAAAGGCCAAGGTAAAAAGTGTGGAATCAACAGATCAACTTCTGGACCCTCAAGAAAGATGTCAGTAGAGATAAGGTTAGAGAAACTGCAGAGCTTTGCAGGAAAACAATCTTCTTAGTAAATGAAAGGGAGACTGTATACATTCCAAACTTGAGTAGCAGAGTGCATACTCATGCAGCAAAGTTCATCAAGGTTAGGAAGACACTTTTGAGCACTTTCTATAAAGTCAGTGTTACACCACATTTTAAAAAACATGTTGATTTTTACTTGTCTTTGCGTCTATTTACTGCTTTCCAAAACATGTACTATATAATTTCTTTGTTTAAAAAGCTATATCTCTTTAAATAATGTCAACAGGAACCTATACTCATATGGAATACTCTATTAAAGCATATCTCATAGTTCATATGGAATTTTTTCTCCTCAAAATGTACCTTAGAATCAGCTTCCTAGTTCTGCTGATACATTCTGAATCACTATAATAATAATAATTGTATTGATAAATCATTATTAAAATACTTTTGTCTTTATGTACATAATGTCACATTCAGATTTAAAAAAGTACTATAACTTTAATATATAAATTTTGAATTGGAACATCTGATGAATGACGTTGCCAAAGATATCTTCAATAAGAAGTTATGACGTCCACTGCCTTGATTGTAACCTGTCACCTCATTCCATTTTACATTCGCTCCTTCCATCTGCACCACAATTGCTAAAATGGTGTTGTTGTGCCCTTTATTAACATTGTATCTGTGTTCTCACAGATGTATTGCTAAGTTTCTTGTGGTTACACCCACATAATCCTTTGCTACTCTTAATTGTTGATTTTCAAATGGGTGTATTTTATACACTCCAGCTTTCTCTTGCATTTTTACTCTTTCTTTATCATTCCTTAGTAAGCTGTAGATGTTGGGTTCTCTTTTATATACCATTTTTGCATTTTTATAAGTACTCAATTCATTCATCACTTCTCCTATATGCTTATTGTATGTGAATTTGTTAATTGCATCTACTTTAGTATTACAGACAACATAAAGGCAAAAAAGATACTAAAGTAGATGCAATTAACAAATTCACATACAATAAGCATATAGGAGAAGTGATGAATGAATTGAGTACTTTTTTTTGCATTTTTTAAAAATGCAAAAATGGTATATAAAAGAGCACCCAACATCTACAGCTTACTAAGGAATGATAAAGAAAGAGTAAAAATGCAAGAGAAAGCTGAAGTGTATAAAATACACCCATTTGAAAATCAACAATTAAGAGTAGCAAAGGATTATGTGGGTGTAACCACAAGAAACTTAGCAATACATCTGCGAGAACACAGATACAATGTTAATAAAGGCACAACAACACCATTTTAGCAATTGTAGAGTAGATGAAAGGAGTGAATGTAAAATGGAATGAGGCAAAAATCATTAAAACAGTCTAATCCCCAACCATTGCATTAGAAATGGAAAAGATGGAAATATATAAAGTAAAATAAAAAACCATTGCCTAAATGCCAAGGATGATAATGTGCTTCCAACAACATGGAAGTACATGATAGAAAAAAGCATGGGGATTAAAAACCCTTGTAATAGTTATACTTAGCCTTGTATACGGTGTTTATTTATTTATGTTGTTTTATTTTATTTTATTTTTACTGTTATTTATTTATTTCAATTATTTATTTTTTCATATACACAATAATTCTAAATCTTTAAATTTAAAAATGAAACTTATTCAAAAAAATGTTATGTTCTATTTTGGAACGATAATTATCATAAGCCTGAGGATGGCCTATAATAAATAGGTTGAAAACATTTAAAATAAAATAATTTATGCTCGGCAAAAATTCAGGTGTGTTGTTATAATTACTGTATACATTGTTGTGTTTAAATAATATATATTTATTATTAATATTCATAACATAAATACCTATTATTTGAATCAGTAAATTCTGTAACAATCAAATCAGAATCCATTTTGATGAATATAGCTGAAATTTGAAAAAATAATTATTATTTTATAATTAAAACTAGAAAAATTTATAATAATTAGTAATATTATTTATTAATAAAATAGTTAAATTATTACTCTATCATGAAATAATAGAAAAAATAGTAATTTTTTTATGAACTAGTAATAATTTAGACTAAGTAGATCAGTGTTTCTTAACAGGGAGACTGCGGCCCCCTGGGGGTCCATAAGAAGTTTGCTGGGGGCTGCCAAATTATGCAAAATTTATGCATATTTGTGTGAAAAAGGGTTCTCAACTATGGTGGATGAAAAAAAAAAAGTAATCAATTGCAATTAGATGTCTGCATGCAGATAGCATTACAAACAATTGAACCAAGAATTAACAAATTAGTTGAGGATATTCAGCAGCAGAAACCTCATTAAATTATTTTTGAATATTTTTTTGTTTTTTCTATGAATTTTTAAAAATTTCTTATTTTATTTTTTGTTAAAAATTAATGAGTTTTTATGTTTAATTGTGAAGTTTGAATGTTATTTTAATGAATAATAAAATAATAGTTATGTTTTACATTTATTATATAAAAAAATAAAGCAATAATAAAAAAATCAATTTATTATAGATAATTTAACAAATATAAATTATTATTAAAAAAATGGGGGTCACAAAAAAATTATGAAATAATTGGTGGGCCATGAGTATAAAAAGATTAAGAACCACTGAAGTAGATAATAAAATCATACTCAGCAGTAAGAAATAGTTAAGAAATTTACATAACTACCTTATGCTTGATGAGAAATATTTATTTACATAAACACAAACATTTTAAGCCTAAGTTCATAGGTCACCATCAGGTGTAGAACACTATATCTGACTTTTTTTTAAAAACATGAAACATTCAAACACAGAAATTAAACATAAATTTAAAATAACAGAGTTAAATGATAAACAAATAACAAACAAAACAAATAAGTATGCATACCACATAAACTGTATGTGTTCAAACATACAATCATTGAAATGTTCATTTAAAAAAAAAAAACATTCAAATATAGTATTCTACACATGATGGTAACCAAGAATTAGGTCAAAAATGTTTGTGTTTGTAAATTTATGTAAATAGATAATTTTCTACTTAATTTACTCTAAAAAGATATCTAATTTATCTAAAAATTATAAAATTAGGTAAAGTAAATTCACTTCAATTGATGAGTGTTTTTTTTTTTTTTGTTTCGGTTTGAAGAGAAAAAGATTCTTTTGAAAATCTGATCAGTTATAAGTTGAGTTATACTGAGTATTACAGAACATATTAAAGAAATCATTTTGTTAAAAGCCATATAAAATTAACAAGAAACATAAAACTGATACAGGTAAAAAACAAAATAGGGGTCTAACTTTTGCCATTTTACTAATTAAAAGCATGTTCTACTCTTTTGCATAATAATAGGTTTAATGAATAATATCTGTAAAGATGACATTTATAGATAATATCTTATTAACCATAAAATGTCTTGTGGTGCATAAATTAGAAATAAAGATTTTAATATAGTTTTAAAATGATTAATTAATAAAAATAATATTCAATAATTAATTCTTTTTGCCTCTGTTCTTACTGCTTTTCTTTTCTGTGTATATATTCTCTACTTGCACCTTTTTTATTAATATCAAACAAAATTTCTTTATATATTTTATTTGATATGTTGTGAGTCTATTCAAAATACAGTAGAGCATTGATTATCCGACTCCTGATCAACTGTCACATTGGTTAACCGACCGCGTTCTAGTCGGCAAATTCAAATGTCCGCTAGTGATGTGGTACTACAATATTTGTCTATATCTTGGCTACTTTAATATTATTTTTGTTAAATTTTTGCATGTTTTAGCTGGCAACACTGGCTCAACCATGAAAGTGAGGCCACTATTTAAATGAGGCTTAATTTTCTAATTATAAGTGGTTGTTTGTTTTGTGAACAATAAAATAATTTTAAAATAATTTTTAACGATACAATAGCAACAATTATTATTTTTAAAAAATTTTGTTAGGCTTAACATCAATGAAAATTCAATGTAAAGTAGGTTAATAGCAATATAATAATATACTAATTAAATGGGATATACTAACATACTATACTAATAATGTATTTTTTCATACTTTTTGGTTATTCGTTTTTTCAGTTATCTGATCAATCCCAGTCCCCAATTGAGTTGGATAATTGATGCTCTACTGTTTCTTTATTTAACTTTATTGTTTAGCAAAATATCCTGTGAAAATAAAGATGTTTTGTTTTTTGACTAAGATCTCTCTTTTCTAATCAGAAACTTCACCATTACAATAAGTCCTATTAATAAACAAGTTCCAAGTAGACAATATATATGTTAGTCTCAAAGATCGAAAACACTCATTGAGCAAAACAAATGCCACAATGGCATTGTGACTAACTCAAAAAGACCACAAATTAAAATGAAACCTCAGGAGCTCATGTGTTCAGTGTGCCATGAATATGTTTACGTTATCTGCAGAGAAAGCAATGAGAATGAGGGACTTGTTACTTGTAAGTTCTGTTTAAGAAAGAACAGCATCAATGCTAAGAGAGAATATGCCAAAACTGGCCTAGAGAAACAGGTATATAAAATGATTTCATTATCCAACTCAAAATTTCATACAGTTGAAATTGGTTCAAATATTTTAGTTAATGTGCCTGATTTTAATAGAGGACGTGCAGCTCCCTGAAATGTTTTAGCTGTTGTTATGAGTATTAATCCATCAGGTCTCACCAGTTAGGAAACAAGGAAGGCCTTCTTGATCAACTTTATGCTCGTAATGAGTTTACAATTTCTGAGAGTAACTTTATAAACATTCAGGACATACCCTCAACTTCATTAACACTTTACTCAGCATCCATGTTAAGGTTAATCTGGAAGTAAGCAAGGGTTTAAAACGTGTCACTATAAAAGATACTGTATTGATAAAAATGCAAATGTCACTCAAAGAACATAAAATGCAACTCAAAATATTATGGTAATAGTTCTTGTAAAAATAAATAACTCTGCAACATTCTTGATTCTCATAAGAAAGACTGATTTATTAATAAAAGTTCCTCACAAATTAGTTTAGTAAATTAGTTGTTTGACACATCTCAAGCACCACAAGAGATTTTCATGAATGATTAAATGTTGTTGAAAAGTAACCAAGTTACATTTCTGTATGTGGTGAATAATTTTGTTACCTACTTATATAAGATAATTGAAGATATATAAATCATAATGAAAAAGAAAATTTTATTTTCTTATCATCACTTCATTATTAGTTAACATCCCAGAACTTGTGGTGGCTTTTAACCATAATAAATTCATTACACAGTGGTTTTTAACTTTAGCAGCTGATTTTCATGTCATTGTGTAGAGTACATCAAGCACCTACTAGTACACATAGTAGATGCTTGATTTGCAATTTAGCATTTTTAAGCAAACCAAAAAATCCAAATGTGTATTTTTCTCCATATATTTTATTTCTTTGAAACTTTTTTAAGTATGAAAATTAAATTTATAGATAAACTTGTACAAATAATGTTGTTCAGCATAAAAATTGTAAATAAAAATGTTTAGAGGCTAAAACCCATATTTTAAAGTAACAAACCACAGTGCATTGTATCACCCTCTATTGTGGTTGCATTAGCTAACGTTCAGAATGCATTATGGCTTTTCTTAATCACTGAAATGTGTAGTGGTCAAATATCATGAAAGCCACGATGCAAATTTCACTTTGTGGTCTTTTTGAGTTAGTCACATTGCATTGTGGCACCTGTAAAAACAGCCACATGTTGTGGATGATTTAGAGACCACAACGTGCTGTAGCCGTTTTTTTGCTCAATGAGCATTTTCATTCTTTGAGCCTAACACAAAAAAGAATATTCAATATTTTTAAAACAATGTTAAGTATTTATGGATATACTGGCACATTTTATTACATACATTTCACTAGAAAATTAAAAACAGAACACACATGTGACCATTACTAAATAATATATGGGACAGATTTAAATTTTTTTCNAATAATTTCATTCAAATATGATTATATAAAAAAATCATATCTGAATGAAATTATTTTATTTAAGTCATTTCATTCTAGAGATTAGGGATATGTATTTTGAATAATGGTATTACAAAGAAATCAAAAGTGTTGTTAATTCCTTTTCTACATTACATATCAGTTTAAAAGAAATAATATAGTAAAACCTCAATGTATCAATTTGAAATGGAAAAGGAAATGGTAATGAGAAATACAGTTCCAATCAACATTCAAAACTATCAGTAAGAATACAATTTAATTATTATATTCTTTGAAATATATGATACAACATTACACTGCATTTAAAACACTAATTCTTGCTGAAGAAACATTTGATTGGTATTTGTTTTGTGCAAACTTTATGCCTCCATTTAAGGTCTAATTTTTCAAGGTCTATAATGTTTTCACAATCACATTCACTCATGATGTGCATGTAAAGGAAAGATTTTGCTTTCAGGAATGCTTTGTGCTTTGCTAAAGTTCAGCACAACTTTGGTTTGCCATATTCTTATTCTCCCCCTCCATATTCCCAGATACCAGGAGACTCTCACACAGCTTGGTACAAGAATATACACACATTTCAATCTCACAGAAAATCAAAATGATAAAAGTAACACAATTTTCTCATTCTGATATTTGTTTATAAATTAAATATATTTTCAACAATATGGTGGAGAGCTGTAAACGACAGCTCAATTTTTCAACACATAACAGGCAATCCAGGTGTCATTAAAGAATGCAAGGTATATTCAGACAGCATCAAGTTTTTGAATTCACTCAAAATCATCAGATATTAACTACTAAATCATTGTTTTAAATCTTACAAAAACTATCAATGCAGGAAATGTTGATTAGGATTATAATTTTTCAATGATTGATGGAGATAGGGAAAAAAATAATGTTATTTATATGGAACTAGTTCTGAGACTAAATAAGTAAATCAATCAATCAT